GCCAGGAAGCCAGATCCAGCATGCAGAGAGGTAGGGGCAGGGGAGGGGCGGCAGGGGGAGGACAAACAGCCTGCAGTCTAATTACAAGTGATCTTGGCGGCATTGCCAAGATCACTTGTAAAGAAACAAGTGGTTTCCCCCGCTGTACATTTAGCCCTCATTGTGCAAAGCAGGGCTAAATGTAGAAAACAAATTGCATGTTCCGGGCGTCGAGAGACTTCAAAACTGTGCCGCCCCTCTGCTCCCCGCCGTGGCCTTGTCGGCAATCTGGTCCCCCCCCCCCCCTCCCCTCCCCAGGGATCCACCACTGTGCAGAAAACTTCTGCAAAAAGCTTCTCTCTAGCTTTAATACAACATACAGTATATGGTACTGATTGAAATTAAGATTTATCCGAAAAGATCTTATGAAAACGATCATTTATTTGATCTGTATTATGATTGGTTGTCAGACACACATGTAGATACTCATTTGATCAATCAATCAATAACATTTGACTTGCTGGCGTCAAAATCAATCGAAAGCTCACTAAATCAAGCTAATGAAGGGTCTGTGGATTGTGATTCCTATTTAATTTGATCATTTTAGTTGCATCCCAACATCAATTGAATGATCATATCACTACACGTGTGGCCAGCTTTACATTTTCCAAAAGTGATAGGAGGATCTTTCTAAACATTCGATTCAATTAGTATCAAGTCAGGCTGGCCCTTGCAGTACATAGCTGTTGGTAGATCAAAAGGAGATTGTACAATCACAAAGGGGCTGATTTATAAATCTTCAGCCCAGTGTATAGCTGGCACTACCACCACTAGATGGAGCCGTGGAACATAGGAATTTGCGCCGTCTAGTGTAGGTAGTGCCATATCAACGGCATTTGCCCAGCTTTATAAATCAGCCCCATAGTAACGGGTGTGGTCAGTTTTAAAGGAACAAGCTTTCAACTAAAAATACCCATTTCTTCTGACTGATATCTAATGTCCATGGTCAGCTCTCTTTAGAAAAAGACAGGAATCTGGTAAATGAACATTGTGTAAAGTGTATATCCAGCCAATGAAGGGTTAAAACTCCTGTTGGGTTTTTACTGCTTACCAGGGCTCCATTACAAAGATTTCCTCTAACTTCCTGTCCTGGTGACAACAATTTCACCAGGCAGGAAGTGAGGGTACATCTCCCACAACAGCACAATCAAAAATAAAAAACACTTTTTAAAAAAAAAAAGTAGAGTAGGGGAAAGCTAGACCTCCTGTTAGCTATTTCTTGCTCTCTGTGTCCCCCATTGCAGATTATCCTTCACGTCCTCTCACCCTGAACACCTTGAGACCTGGCTACTGGGCTGCATGGTGCACTTATGTTTATATGATCTTGTATTTTGCTTAAAGGCAAAAAAAAAGTATTGATTGAAAAGCTAACAAGGGTTCTAACTAGGGATGCACCGATACCGAGTACAGTACTCGGTACAAGTAAATGCACAGATACTTTTCCAGCTCCAGGACTAGACTAGAGAAAAATTCAAACGTTAGGAGGCAGCTGTCATTTGTAAGGAGCACACGGAGCTCCTGGGATTTGTACATCCCTGTTTTATTGTATGATTTTATAAATATATATAAGGGATACACTGAGACCATTTTTCCAAGTACAAGTACTGATACTTGTCCAAGTCCTCATAGATACTAGTACTGATACATTTTTGTTTATTGTCATGTGACAGTTTTTCTAAAACAACCCAGACTAATGATTTCGGAACAGTGGTGGAGTACCAGAGCGAGGTCCCAGCTGCAACCGCTGCAACCCTGGTAGTTCTCATAAAATGCCAAGTATCGGCACTGGTATCTGAACTGGTATCGGTGCATCCCTAGTTCTAAACCTTCCTCATACAAAACGGAAAAAAAATAGTTTGGACATACACTTTAATTAAATGAAAACAATAAAATGTTATAGTACCAAAACATTTACAGGAAGTACAAATACTGTATGTAAATATTTTTGCAACACTTTGTAAAGTACAGTATTACTGAGACGAGTGATTTCATTGAGAAATGTACAATACATTATACATATCAGGAAAGCTAACACACAGAAAGACGTCTACTTGACTACAAGTGATGCTGTCCAGCAGCCAATAGGATGGCGGGATTCTCCGCACAGACAGGCCAAGCTCTGCCCAGGTTCAGGGTATTTCCAATGCTGAGTTGGGATAAAAATATCACTTTCACTTCTCAGTGTGGTTTCTTTAGTCTATATTGCAGCTGCAAGCCAGCCCAGTGCAGCATTTGGCTTTGGTCTTAGAGAAGCAACAGCAGCAAAGATCCAGAGAGCGGTCACCGTCCCAGGTGTGCAGACTACAACTCAGCGATGGCAGACGAGACCCAGAACCTGGTCCAGAATGGGATTCCGGAAGAGAGCGTGGTGGAAACTGGGGAGAGACAATCACGGTACCGATCCACCCTATAAACCTGATCTTTGTGCTTCTATAACCATTGCATTGCAGTAACTACCGAACAATTACCCAATCATTAAAAATCTCGAGCATCAGGTACAATAAGTATCCCACCCGGGGGAATCTCTGGGATTCCAACCTACTAAAAACTATTCACACTGCGTATGTGAGAGGGCTCATAGAAATGATGCATGCTTGTCATAGAATAGACAAGTCCTTGGTGGGTGTTCTGCATATGTACGCAGCAAACATGGAAATAGAAAGAGAAATGTCACAAAGTATTTATGGACTTTGAAAAAAGTAAAAACTTTTAAATAGACACAAAAAAAGAAATCGAATTGAACAGATGAAATCAAACGTTCTAAATGATCTCCTGCGTCTGTTTGATAATTAGTCGGAAAGTCGTTCAGGAAAAGCAGTTCAGCGGTTTGGTGAGGACATCTAATAGGCCGAGGGAAGGAATATTAGAAACTGTGGCAGGTTCTCTTTTTATCTGACTATAGTAATTTGTCTTTGTGCCTCTCGACATTTCTCCATCTCTGTCTGTGTAATCCCTGTTTTTCTCTGTCTCCATTATCTGTATCTGTCCGTATCTATTTCTCTCTGTCTGCATACATCTATCTCTGTCTGTCTCTGCGTACCTCTCTCTCTCTGTCTGTCTCTTCGTACCTCTCTCTCTGTCTGTCTCTTCGTACCTCTCTCTCTGCGTACCTCTCTCTCTCTGTGTCTCTTTGTACCTCTCTCTCTGTCTCTTCGTACCTCTCTCTCTCTGTCTGTCTCTGCGTACCTCTCTCTCTGTCTGTCTCTGTGTACCTCTCTCTCTGTCTGTCTCTTCGTACCTCTCTCTCTCTGTCTGTCTCTGCGTACCTCTCTCTCTTTCTTTTCTGTCTGTCTTTGCCTGTCTCACTTCCTCGCTGCCTGTCTCTGCGTATCTCTCTCTTTCTTACTAATCGATTATGAAAATAATCGTTAGCTGCAGCCCTAGTCTCTGCATACCTCACTTTCTTTCTGTCTTTCTCTGCATATCTCTCTGTCTCTGCATATCTCTTTCTTTCTTTCTCTCTGCCGGTCTCTGTGTACCTCTCTCTTTCTCTCTGTCTGCATATCTCTCTTTTCTCTGTCTGTCTCGGCATATCTCTCTCTCTCTCTTTGTCTCTGCATACTTCTCTCTCTCTCTGCCTGTCTCTGCGTATCTCTCTCTTTATTTCTTTCTGCCTGTCTTTGTGTATCGCTCTCTTTCTCTCTGCATATCTCTCTTTCTCTCTGTCTGCATGTCTCTCTCGGTCTGTCTCTGTGTACCTCTCTGTCTGTTTCTGTGTATTTTCTCTTTCTTTCTCTTTCTCCTATCTCTGTCTCTTCAATTCAAATTGTCAATCTTTCAGATAATCTATTTTGCTTCTCTCACACAAACACTTGTTAGACGTCAGTGAAAGTAATTGCATTGTAAGAACAGCCATTATAAGCTGTTTATAGAACACTTTGAAGGGACTTTATCAAAACTGGAGCATTCAGAATCTGGAGCAGTTGCCCATAGTAACCAATCAGCCTCTATGTTTCATTTTTAAATGTTAACTGGGCAGAAAAGAGAATCTGATTGGTTACTATGGGCAACTGTCCCAGATTTGGACCCCATTTTATAGTTATAAGCAATAGATCAATGAGGTTAAAGATCAGTCGAGTTTGGTGTCACATTTGACAACTGAAGTTTTCACTTTATTTATTCCTAAGTTTTGCCTGGAATTCTGTAAATATGGTAATGGTATTATTTTGGAAAAGAAAAGCAGAGCATAAGCAGAAAAGGGAAATTTCTTCTGCATGAGCGTCTGCAAAAGTACAAGTTGTGAAATGCTTCTCCCTGGCAACTGGTGATGTCATACAGTTCCAGAAGTTTCATTTGGCAGTTGAGCAAAACAAGCCGTAATGGCTTCCCTGGATCGTTTTATGCTCAATTCCCGATATGGATCCTTATCTTAAGTCCAATGAGATTTCCAAATTGTATAAAGATTCTGAGTGAATTGATAGGGCCAGGGAATGTAGTTATGTAGATAATGTATATACAAATAACATTCACATAAAGTGACCCCATCGCTAGGAGCACAAAATGCAACCTGCAGCCCCTGTAAAAGAACACATTAAGGGGAATTTATCAAGACTGGAGCAGGCAGAATCTTGAGCAGTTGCCCATAGCAACCAATCAGATTTTTTCATTTTCAATGCTTATATGAACAAATTGAAAATAGAATCTGATTGGTTACTATAGACAACTGCTCCAGTTATGATAAGTTCCCCCCAGTGTTGTTTGTTCTCGTAAACAATAGGTAACAAAACCGTACTATAGATATACAACACACACAGGAGAAATGGCACTACAGGGAAAACAGGGGGCTACTGGTTGCATTTTGGGATCCTGGCAACAGTATTCTTTGCCAGTGTTTTGGTGTTGCTAATGGTGGATCCAGTCCGTAGCTTAGTAGCATATTTTACATAATTCACAGCAAAACATCGCTCAAACTCTTATGCCAGCTCACATCTGTCCTGGCAGGAATACCAGACCAGGAACAGAGATTTGTGTCCTTGACATGATTAAGATTTATTCAACATATGTGGGGCAGCACGATAGCCAGCGTACTACACCCAAAAAGAGGACTAACATTCATTTTTAAGCAAAGGCACATTAGCATAATTCATGAGTCACATCCCAGTGGCATCCCACATTGGGCCGGCATGGAAATACAAATCATCCAATAATATTTGATTATTTATCACAGCTTTGAAACGGTTAACTCTCTCAGGCCACAGGGTATCTCCCATACTTGCATAACAGTAATTGAAGGATTCATCTTTCATTGTGTGCCAACTTGGTCTGGTGTCTGTCATTATACCATATTTTGGGAGTATTGGTCCCCTTATCAGCTCCCCACACACAGATGCTGCCAATAAACGAAATCAAAAAATGCCTGTAACCAGCAGACTGAAATTAATCATATATGTTGCAGAGTCTGCAGAAATATGTCCTTGCAAACCTTGCTAAAAAAAACCTGTTGCTTTCTACAAACCTTGGGACTTATCTATAACAAGAGGGAGTCTCGAATATCAAGATGGATCCTTTAGCTTAACCAACTTTTCCACCTCACATCACAACCGTGTCTCAGGTGCAGGCAAACAGGCGCGTCTTCGCCTCCAATGAACACATCCAAAGATAGCCGCGCTCCAAGAGTCTTCACCAGGATAAAAGAATCTTGTTGATAGCAAATACACATAGTGGAAATCCCCAGGAACGCTTAAAAGAGAACTATGAGGTGAGTGATTTTCACTCATTCTCATAGTTATAGCCGACCTGTGACAAGGAAACTGTCACAGGTCGGCTCAGTAGATCGGGAAGTTAGCGAACACATACCGGAGCTCGCTCACTTCTCGATCCTGTCACTGCAGAGAGCCGTGACAAGGGAGGGACTGGATTCCCCCCTCCCCTGTCTGATCCTCCAGCGCTGACTGGCGGAACAGACGGGGGAGGGAGCGGGTACTAGATAGGCAGAGCCAGCTGTCACTCACGCAGCTGGGTGGATCCAGATATAATTGTCGGGATTCGTTTCAGCTGCGGCGTCTCAGTATACCGCAAGCTGTAGCTCGCGGTATACTGAGCTTAGGGTGACGGGAGGACGCTAGTTTGTGTCCTCCAGTTACCCATAGGAGAACTATGGGGAAAAGCCCTGACCCCATAGTTCTCCTTTAATCTTTTACACGTTTCACCATTACGGCTTAGTCATAGAGATCCTGGTGAAGACCCTTGAAGTGCGGCTATCTTAGCATACTTTACATATTTAAAACATATTTTGAAAAATGCAGCAATGTTGACACCTCAGCCCTCGCTCAAGAAGTCACTAAGTAAGCATCTAGTTGGCATTTGTAAAAAGTCTGCTGACTTTTTGTTCTATAGTTGGGAAACGGAAAAAAAAAGAGAATTATGACTGAAACTCATCGACACATAGGGAGCCGGGGAGCAAAGTGCACAATTCAGTGCCCACAGCAACCAGTGAGAATGTATCACAATGGATTTTCTATTTGGAGGTTTGGGAAAAAGTCTGAAGGCCTTATTGAGTCTTTTTGCCTCTCCATTACTGAGCAAGAAGACCTCACCCTGCCAAATGGGCAAGAGCTGCTGTCAAGACAGATGAATAATATAAAAGGCTTGAGTATGCAGACACCCAAAGCATAGGTTGTAGGAGATCATTAAGAGGAGTCTTAAGGGATCGCCTAAAGGCAGTCAGAGTGGGAGATAGACTGACAGGTTGGGGTAAGGAGTTCCAGAGGATGGTAGAAACTCTAGTGAAGTCCTGGAGGCGAGCATGGGAGGAGTTGACGAGGGAACTGGAAAGCAGGAGGTCTATTCAGCCCTTAGGAATAACTTGGCTGGATGCTCTATAAAAGTGCGTTATATGTTGAGATAACTGGGTAGGAAGAAGTGAAGCGTGGGCATACAACTTCAATGCCAGCTCAGATGGAACAATAGCATTTAAATAAGGATTTCAGAACTGTCCCGTCAATATCTGTCCCTTGAAATAGGTTGCCAAGATCTATTTTATATCACCTTTGTACATACAGATGTGTGAAAAAGTAAGTACACCCCATGGAAATTTTAACATATTTAAACAGGCAAACATAGGTTCTTGATTCAAATAGTGCTTACAGATAAAGGCAGTATACTTGAACAAATGACACCAAAAATGTACTTGGTGTAATGATTTTCTAAATGAAAATTAAAAAATGCAGATTTGTCATATTAAGAAAGTAAGTACACCCTACATTTACCACCATTTTAAATCCATGAAACTAGAATCCGGTATTTCATGTTAAGTGGCAATGACTAGAAACTGGAATTGTATTGTAATGTCTTCCTTATATTGTAAAGAGCTGCACAAACTGTTGTCGCTATATAAATCCTGTATAATAATAATATTGAGAATGCAGGTGGAGCCTGACTTATTTAAACCTTCAGACTTCTAGGGTCTAGTGGTCTCTTTGTTATTGACGTGTATGGTGTCATTATGCAAGATCAATAGAGCTCTCTAAATCCCTCAGAGAGAAAGTTGCGGGATGCCTGTGAGTCCAGCAAGGGATTTCCAGCAAGGGATTTGAGACAAGGCCTTCTGGTCTTGTACTGGTCAATGTACTGAAGACTAGTGATGGGCCCAACACCCCAGTGTTCGGTTCGTATTCGAATATTCAAACGGCCGATCAGTTTGAATACGAACTCGAACCTAATGCAAATCAATAGGGGTCGAACGTTCGGAAACAAATGTCCGCTTTAAGAGTGCTTATATGCAAGTTATTGGCCATAAAAGGTGTATGGGGGTCCGGATACTGCCCTAGAGGACAGGAATCAATGAAAAAAAAAACAAAAAACATTTTTAAAGGAGCAGTGATTTTAACATCACTTAACCTCCCTGGCAGTATTCCCGAGTGTAGCTCGGGGTTACTTTTCCATACCATAAATGGTAACCCCAAGCTACACTCGGGAAAGCCGCACAGCATTTACTTACCTTGTCCCTCGAGCCGCGCTGTGTTCTATGGCCGATGCCGGCTTTCGTCTTCCGGGTTCCGTCGCTTGCGAGCGTATGCGCCGCAGGGGGGCGGAATCGGCGGGGTATTAAAAAAAAAAAACGGCAAAGACGAAAAAAATTCAAAAAACAACAAAATAGACAGAGAAATGACATGAAAAAAATAAAAAATCATACCGCCAGGAAGGTTAAAGGGTAAGAATAAAAATAAAAAATTCCTTCAAATATCATGCCTGGGGGGGGGGTCCCCATAAACTGCCTGTGAAGTGGCGGATCTGTAGGATGTATAGAACCTGCTGCAGCAAAACTGACATTTCTAAAGAAAAAAATAAATTCTTTTTTTTACTCTTAACGTGTGCAGTTCCCCCTCCCCTTTACGTCTGGTAGTAATGTTAGGAGGGACCATTTAAACATTTTTTTTTTTAAAGTGTAGGGTTCCCCCTCAAAGTCATACCAGTCCCTTAAGGTCTGGTAGGAATATTGAGGAGGGACCCCATGTAAAAAAAGTGTGTGGGGTTCCCCCTCAAAGTCATACCAGGCCCTTAAGGTCTGGTCGGAATTCCAAAAGTGAAAAAACATAGGGTTCCCCCTAAAATTCCATACCAGACCCTTGGTCCGAGCATAGGCCTGGCAGGGCCGGAAAGGGGGGGGGGGCGAGCGAGCGCCCCCCTCCCTCCCACACCAGGCCACATGCCCTCGGCACTGCGAGGGTGCTTTTCCAGGGTCGCCCATGGAAAAGCACCTTGTCCTCGTGCCAATGGGGTCAAGGGCCTCGTCCCCACAACCCTGACCCGGTGGTTGTGGGGGTCTGCAGGCAGGGGGCTTATTTGCATCAGGGTACCCCTTTAATTAAGGGGGCACTCAGATGCCCTCCCCCTTGTGAATAAGTAAGGGGTACTTTTACCCCTACCCATTCACTAAAGTATTCAAAAATAGATTCAATAAAAACACCAGACTTTAATCAAAAATCCTTTATTTGAAAAGAAAAACTTCCTTTTTTTTTTTTAAACCCCCAAATATGGATCTACCGACGTAATCCATGCTCAATCACGATGTCCAGCATTGTCCACGACGACGGAATAAAAAATAAAACAATAAAAAATAAATAGAAATAATAATAATAAAAGAACAAAACGACGACTGCCGTCCCGTCCTCTCCTCGCCGACTCCCGCCGCATAATGGCATTTTGACAGCTAGTTCCGCCCAATTGTGTAGTTTGCCGTCATCTAACTCAATACTGAGCCCTGATTGGGCAAAGTCTTGCACCTGACCGCAGCCTTTAACCAATTAGGGCTTCCAAGGGTGCTTTGCCTTGTGGGACATTGTGCGGTCGACCAGACTGCGAACGACCCCAAAAGTTAGGTGTTTGGCGAACGCACGAACAGGCAGTGTTCGATTCGAACTTACGCTCGACTGGAATCGGCAGCCCATCTCTACTGAAGAATGATCAACCCAAGATACATTGTTTGGTTGTTTGGTTATGTTTTCACGAATTGAAGACAATAAGGTTTATATACTAAAGGCAAAAAGGGTCATTACTTTGCAAAGGAATTTTCCTTTAGCTTAGTGAATAAGGTGAAGCCCTGCTGAATTATTTTATCCAATCACGCGCAAGCAAAAATACATAATTTTTTTTCCTTGCACACGATTGGGCATTCTTTGCAAAGAGAATTTTATTCAGCTAAGAGAAAATTCACTTTCAAAGTGAACAAGCCATTTCCCTTTACCAAATCAGTTTCAGTATTTCAGTTGAAGAACTTAAAAACAACTGTAAAGCATGGTGGTGAAAATGTTTTGCTGCTTCAGAGCCTGGGCAGCGTGCAGTCCTTGAGTCAACTACTGTAATCACTCTGCATTATATGTGCTCAATCGGAATGTGAGACTATCTGTCCAAAAGTTGAACTTGAACTGAGTCTTTCAACACGATAGTGATCCAAAGTACACTAGCAAATCTACCTTGGAATGACTCAAAAAGAAGAAATAGAGAGTTATGGACAACCGTTGTTAACGCCCTGATTTGATTCCCACTGAAATGTTGTAGGGGAATTTTAAAATGGCCATGATTCATGCAAGGAAACCCACAAACATCTTGCAACTTAGGGGATTTTTCATGGAGAAGTAGTCAAAAATTTCAATGTTATAGACTAGTGGGTAGTTAAACAAAATGCCTTCAAGTAATTTCCACATTACATCTATTTATACTAAAACTAAACAATAAAGGTGATCAGCGCCAGTAAGTGTAATGTGGAAATATGAGCTACCAAGCACTAAGGATATAACTAAATATCTGTAAAATGTGAAAAAACAATATTGTGCCGAGCTAATAATCATACATATCTAATAAATTGAAACATATATAAATGAGTCACATATATGAGCCTTCAAACAAATGAGGCATAAGAAATATCTACACACATACAAAAAAGCAATATAGGCAAAAAAAGTCCCAAGGAAAAAACAAACGCAAACAATGGTGATTGTGCAAAAAATTCCTCAGATGATTCGCAGCCAGTGTGCATATAACTCTCCGGCTTCGTCCGGCTCAGCCGGACGAACAGTTTTCTTATCACTTTGCTGCCATTTGTCCTGCTGGTATGATCCAGCAATACCCAATGCCTGTACTGTTTACACCATTGTGAGTACGCATTTTTTATATAATAAATTGCATTTTATTGGACGTTACGCACTATGTCCTTGTCCTTTTTCTCTTTCCACCTGGATTTATACTGGTACCTGTGATCTGAGGAGACCTTATCGCCTTTTTCTGTGCATGGGCTTCCCTCCCCCATTAAGAAGGGAAAAAGTGCATTTGACCTAGCTCTGTGGGTCTACCTCCCCAGGTGAGCATTCACTTGTTATCATCACTCACTGGGTGGAGGTGAAGGTCTGCCTGCATTGTGTGATTATCCTTACCTGAGAGTTATATGCACACTGGCTGCGAATCATCTGAGGAATTTTTTGCACAATCACCATTGTTTGCGTTTGTTTTTTCCTTGGGACTTTTTTTGCCTATATTGCTTTTTTGTATGTGTGTAGATATTTCTTATGCCTCATTTGTTTGAAGGCTCATATATGTGACTCATTTATATATGTTTCAATTTATTAGATATGTATGATTATTAGCTCGGCACAATATTGTTTTTTCACATCTATTTATACGTTTGTTGAATAAATGAATACATTTTTCTTATTCAAATTATAAAAATTATTTATATTCAGGTACACTGCCTGGCCAAAAAAATAGGGTCACACACTCTAATATTTCGTTGGACCACCTTTAGCTTTGATTACAACACACACATTTGCTGTGTCATCATTTTGATAAGCTTATGCAATGTCACAACATTTTTTCAGTCCAGAGTTGCATTATTTTTTCTCCAAGATCTTATAGTGATGATGGGAGAGTCGGACCACTGTGTAAAGTCTTCACCAGCACATCACAAAGATTCTCAATGGGGTTAAGGTCTGAACTCTGTGGTGGCCAATCCATGTGTGAAAAGGATGTCTCATGCTCCCTGAATTGCTTTCAGTGAGAGATGAATCCTGGCATTGCCATCTTGGAATATGCCCACTGTGCCATCAAGGGAGAAAAAAAATCCAATGATGGATAAAAACCTGGTCATTCAGTATATTTAGGTAGGCAGCTGACCTCATTTTTTGGGGACATATTGTTGCTGAACCCAGACTAATTATCCAAAGGAAGTCTCTTACCTATTTGCTTAGCTAAATCCAGGTGGTGACGCTTTTTTTTTGGCCAGGCAGTGTTTATCACCTTTGTCTGTAGGCACTGTTTGAATGAAAAACTAAGGTGTTCAAACATGTTGTAAAAGTCAACTTAACTTCATGGGGTGTACCTAATCTTTTACATGACTTTACATGGAGAAGGGCTTAATGCACCCCTAAACTCTGATATCTGAGGGTCAGGATTGCAAATGAGGTCCTTCAATCAGTTTTTGGTTTACTTTGGATATGCCTTTCCCTCTCTTTAGTACATGTTATGGGTACCTAGAATAAATAGGTTCCAAAGAAATGATCCAATGACAATTGGTGTTCTTATAGCAATGGGGTTGAGCAGTTCTGTTCTAAATGGACAGAAATATTAAGCCTATGCTGGCCATGAACAGCTCTTTTTACACAATTTCAGCCGCTTTCTATTAACTGACAACCGTAGAAAAAATTCAAAACCATGAAGACGACCTACAGGGAACATTTTCTGTCAAAGCCATGAACAGTTGGTGGTTAGTTGCCTTGATCCATTTGTTTGTTTTAATCAAATGCTGGTTAAAAATTATTTTACTATTGACTGAAAACAGACTTCACTTGAGTGTGTCCAGCATTGGTGGAGTGGTTAGTCTTTATAGCTGTCTAGGTGGCTGTTGTATGGCCTGGGTGATTTATGTGCAAAGAAAATCAATAAAATGTCAGACTAGCTTTCAGCAGCCTAACTTCAGTTTTGAGCTCAGGCCACACTTTGTTAGTTTCATAAAGCTCCTTTTGGAAATGCAAAAAAATGTGTGCTACGGACTATCCACCATTATCTCAAAACACAAAGATACAGTTTCAAGAACAAACATCCATCTGCAAGGAGTGAAATATCACAAGCGTAAAATGTAACGACGCTATAATATGATACAGTGTAAGGTTACATCTTGATCTCTTAAAGTCCTGCACAATAAAAAAACGCATTAAAAGGAGAATTATGGTGGAAGTGAAAAACACTCATCCCCATAATTCAAGCCGACCTGTGACAAAGAAGCTGTCACAGGTCGGCTCCGTTGATCGTGAAGTCAGCGAATACATACCACTGATCGCGGAGTTCCCGATCCTCTTCCTGCAGAGAGTGGTGACTGTCAGTCACCACTCCCCGCAGGGATTCCCACCTCCCCTCTCCGTTTCTCCAGCGCTGACTAGAGGAACAGACGGGAAGGGGCGGGCAGAGCTGGCTCTGCCTCTAGTTAGGCAGAGCCAGCTGTCAATCAGCCAGCGGGGTGGATCTCAACAGTATTGTCGTCATACATCACGACTGTAAAGCGGCCCTGCGCTCTCAGCATATAGCGGGCAATAGCCCTCTGTATACTGAGTTTTGGGTCACCTGAGGACATTAGTATATGTCCTCCCTTGACCCTGAGGAGAACTATGGGGCAAAAAGGTTGCCCCATAGTTCTCCTTTAAAGCATAACTAAACCTAAAAACAAAAAAATACACATTTTACAGCTTACTATTCCTCAGATGTGGTGGCTGCATTAGTTTTAAATTTTTTTAGGATTTTCTAGATGGCTAGAAGAAAACTTTCTGGAAGTAATCTTTTTAATTTGTAAATAAATATAAAGGACTTAGTAAATAATTTGTTTAAAGGGTTTTAGGTAAAAAAAATAACATCAAAGGGAGTTTTTTTTTAAATAAAAAGGGTCTTGGGTAATAATTCCATTTTTACTTAACACCAAAGTAAAAATAATTATTTTGGATTATTATTTATTAAAGAAGTGATTTCCCTCATCATTTCTAAATAAAAGGCCTGTCAGTTGCTTGAGTTTGATTCATGCCCAATCTGTTAAATAAATATAATGAAAACGTTTTTATTTAATATTAAAATATTATATTCAGTTTTCTTCTGACCTGGAAAAAAACTGAAGTTTTATACATTTCTAAACTTTTACTTTACTTTCAGCACCTATTTAGTTTTAAAACTTCTTAGTTATGCAATGGAAGTGCTAAGTGGTGCGCTGTGTTTAGTGCATCAATTGCCCTTAATCCGGCCCTCGGTCTAGCGTACAAAAGCAATCCTGAAGTGAATAGGCACTGGCCAGGTAGCCCCTATTGCTGATTTATTTTAATGAAAACAAACTCACAATAATATGGGATAAAAAATGTTTTCTAGTGACTGTGGAAAAAATGTAAATCAGACTTTTTACATTGTCTCTGGAGTCATGCGAAATTGTCCAGCAATGAATCTTCTTACTTTGGAAGGAGACCTGCTGTGGCGGCCAGGAACTCGTGATACCAGCCTTGATTGTTCTTCTGATATGTATTCTTATAAGTATGTGCTCCACATGTCCTGACAGAGGAGGAACTCTCGCTAGGATTAAACAGAGATTGTAGCAAGAATATGCAGGCGGAACAGGCCCCTTCAATAAAGATTTTCACAAAAAGGCAATGGAATGCCGAGAAGACCGCACAGGGAAGACCATGGCGGAGCAGGGATAGGTAAGTATAATACTTGGAGGGGGGGGAAGGATAAGGACATAGCACCCTAGTAAGTGCTATAAGTACTATAAGTACACAAACTCTAAATTCTAACTCCTAAAGGAATACAATACTTTTAATCACATTAGATGCTTTCTATGGGCCTATGGGGAAAAGGCCGGATATGAATAGTACCATGAAACTTGCTGCACGTTATTGGCTTTTGCTCCTAGTCTGATGCATCGTGTTCATTATTCTTGTTCTTTTTTTTTTGCAGTACTGTGACCTGTACCAAAAAGACAGTAATGCCCATACTGTCCATCTTCGTAGCTCTGCTTATCGCAGGTCAAGCCGTATCCGTCTACTTTATCTCTCAGCAGCAGTCCACCATTAGCCATCTGCAAGAGACCACAACTGCATTAAAGTTGAAGGACATGATGAAGAATCTTCCAGGTTCACGTATGTAGCATTCTCATTGCAGAATACAATACACACATTGTCATCCACAGAGCAGCTATATTGTTGATGCATATCTGAAATGCAAATGCCTCAGCAACTGTCTGTGTTACCCATAACAACGGACCAGTGGAAATAATATGCTATGTCAAAGACCATAAAAACACTTACATTCAATAAACTTTTTATGCAATCCCATATATTGCAACTGTGCTTCCTTCAGAAAGACAAATCCATTTTCTTTTTCAACCATTTTAAGCAAGGTAGAACTACAGACTCATTATGACTTTACAATTTCCTTGCATAATGTATCTCTGATTGCCCAGGAATGTGCATAATTAGATTGGTGTTCGTAGAACACAGATTAGTGACAACCAATGGATTTTACAGGGAGTTTACTGGTGTTCTCAGGATTAAAAAAAAAGCCTTTTATAGCCGTAAATCCCCACACTATCTGATTGAGTGGGCCCGGAAAGCCCATTTAAGACACTTTAATATGCAAATATCCATTGGAGATCCCTGCTACTGTGTACACTGCATGCTGGATAATCTTGCCTTGCATATACAATGGTCCTCTTAGAGAACAATGGTATCTTTATGTTTACCTTGCATTAATAAGTTTCACTAGCAGGTGGAATTAGTTGTATATGTAATCACGTGTTATGTATATGTATAGTTATGTATATACTGTACATGTATCATGTGTTCCAGTCCTGGAAACTGGAAGCTGACAGAACAAACAGTGTGTAGATAAATATAATATTTTTTTTTGCATAGTAGTACTGCACTGGAGAAATTATTATATGCTGTCTAAATGACTCAGTTCAACTAAATTAGGTGATGCCTGTGATCATTAAAAATATGAAAGAAATATTAATTAGGTATTTAAAGATGAATCTAAAAAAATATTTGTAAAACTGACTTCCTTCATATATACAACAGTTTCCTGAAAAATAACTGACATCATTTGGACAAGTCAAAGAATTGTTGTGAATGTTGCTTTTTCGTAGCAGTGTTCTGATGAAATAATGTCCGTCGTGTTTTCCACCTACAGCTCAATCCCAAAATCGCCCAAAACTGAGGATGGCATCATTTAATATTCCTCTGGCATTCAAGGATACAGACGGCTCTTCACCAGTAAGTTTGTCTGCTTACATTAAAATAGTTTGCTTACTTTCTGTCATTTTTTCCTTTCCTGGTGCCTATATGTGGCAGCGTACAGATACAGGGGGGCAAAGCACCAACCATCTGTATCCTGCCATATAGGCACCAGGAAACTGGCAAATGATATACCTACCTTTCCTGGTGCCTATCCATGGCAGGATACAGATGGTTGGTGCCCTGTTCCCATCCATCTGTATGCTGCCATGTAGTCACCATGAAACTAGTTATATAGTAACAGTAATAATAATAGAATAAATATAATGATATAGTGATGTAGTAACAGTAATGTTAGCAAGAAAATATAACCATACAGGTTATAGAGAGAAGAGACTTATAGAACCAAAAAGCTCTCAAAGTGAATCAGTGCGTAGCCCAGTAGAGCCTTGTTATAACAGAAAGTATTAAAGCAGACCTTTACACTCAAAAATCAAATTCTCCCAATGCATCTCTCTATCTATGATGATTAATAATAACATAGACATGTCAGGTGTAAAATGCTGTGATTTTGAAATGCTTACACTTGCAGAGCATTCACTTCCTGCTTTGAAAGAGCAAAATGACTTCAGTGTGCCAAAACAATGCACACGGTGATTGCCTCGTCATCAGCAGAGCATTGCTGGGAAATCTCATCCATATTCTCACGAGATCTCAGGGAAAGGCATTTTCCTCCCCTGAGATGATGTGCATGGTCACATGTCTAGTCACATGTGCTAGAAATCCAGGAAGTAATAGGAGAGGTAGTAATCTGCCCTTAGTAAACATGGCCGCTGTCAGGAGACTGGGGAAGAAAAGAGAAATAAGGTATGCAAAGAATAAAAAGCCAGCAATCATCTAGAAGTATGTGTTTGTAGATTGTCATTACTAAAGAATTCTAAAGGTGTCTTTGTTGTTATTTTAAAGATATGGGTAAAGGTCCACTTTATATATCTATATTTATCAGATATTTGGCCTTATTCAATAAAAAGTTACAATTCTTAGGTAAAGATTTCCCAGCAATGTTTTGGAATCCATCTTGTGCTGGTCTGACTTCAGTATAATGAATTCTGATTGGTTGCTATAGGTTATTCCTACAATTGGCGCTCTTTATTAAATAAAGGTAATAGTAACAAGATGAGCCCTGAATTAAAATCGTTGTAAGAAATTGATGGAACCTTACTGAAAATGATCACGGTTTACCAGATGGACTTCTTTATTTGCAGAACCTGGAAGAAATTGCAGAAGGGAGCAACAAGATTGAAGATGCAGTTAAATACATGCTCCTGGTGAGTGGCTGTGTCAGTTCTAATGCCACAGTCTACATTGGCTTCTTAATCATTTTTTTATTAAAACTGAACTCCAGCAAAACAGCAAAGAACACGAATGAAATACATACATATGAGAGCTGTTAGCAGCCATAGACTTTGTGCGTTTGCCCATCCATTCCACAGTTGCCAACATTTTAAAAATATTTACAGGGACACCTTTTCTGCTCTGTGTCAAGCAAGCCAATGTAGGTGGAGAATGCACTTTAATTATCGGTGGGGAATTCATCTAAAATTGGTGTAGTTCTACAAGAGGTACAAAATGTACAATTTAATTTTAAAATACTTTTTTGTACAGGAAGATTTATCATAAAAAGGACAGAAATACAGCAAGTAGGCTTTTGTTCATTAGTAAAATTATTTAAGTATTTGTTTAGCTAAGTACAACTTTTAAGCTGGTCAAACACAGCTTGAATTTTAGCCGATGCCTGCTGAATCAGCCAAAATTTGAGCCATGGGTAGCCCTGTCGATGACACCCAGCTTGACAAAAGTGTAAGGGGAGATTTACACTGACCACCGTGTAAGGGGAGATTTACACTGACCACAGTGTAAGGGGAGATTTACAATGACCACCGTGTAAGGGGAGATTTACACTGACCACCAATGTAAGGGGGGATTCTACACTGACCACCAATGTAAGGGAGGATTCTACACTGAGCACCAATGTAATGGGGAAATCTACACTGACCACCAATGTAAGGGGGGATTCTACACTAACCACCAATGTAAGGGGGAATTGTACACTGGCCACCAATGTAAGGAGGATTCTACACTGACCACCAATGTAAGGGGAATTCTACACTGACCACCATGTAAGGGGGGATTCTACATTGACCACCATGTAAGGGGGGATTTACACTGACCACCAATGTAAGGGGGGATTTACACTGACCACCATGTAAGGGGGGATTTACACTGACCACCAATGTAAGGGGGGATTTACACTGACCACCAATGTAAGGGGAATTCTACACTGACCACCATGTAAGGGGGAATATACACTGACCACCATGTAAGGGGGAATATACACTGACCACCATGTAAGGGGGAATATACACTGACCACCATGTAAGGGGGAATATACACTGATGGCCAATTTAACAGGAATGTTTAAACCTACCACCAATGTAATAGAAACATTTACACTGACCACCAATGTAACAGGGGTATTCACAGTGAACCCTTCACTAACCTCTGCATTCAAATCCACCCCCTCCCTGCTAACCTTTGCACCCCAAACCTCCTTTGATCACCTCTGCATCCCCCCTTTTCACCTCCAAAGCCCACCTCCTTCTTGCCTTTGCCCCCTAAACTGACCCTTTTTTCAACTTTGCACTCCTCCTCCCCCCACTTCTTTGCACTCCTCTGTGCTGCACACTTACCTGGTTTTCAGTGGCACACATGAAATGGTTTGAAATGTTTGCCATTTTGTATATGTCAGTATCAAGGCAATTAAAGTTTTTATTTTTGATATCTACCTGGGGTACAGCTTAACATAGAGATGTGTAATACATTTTTCGCTGTAATGTCACTCTATGTGCTTCTTATCTCTATTCCAGAACCATGAATTCTCTGTGTTCCCTGTACATTGCATAACTATAATTATTTTATGTCCCTTTCTTATTTGTAGAGAACCAATCCCCTGAGAACTTACCCATCACTGAATGGCACCGTCCTGGACAATCTGAGGAAGCTGAAAAAGAACCTGAGTGACCAGGAGTGGATGGTCAGTGTTTATAATACGAACTTAGAAAACCATAAAACCAAAAACTATCCCGTTGCTCAGAGCAACCACAATACCTATTGATTTCAAAATGTGAAACCTGATTGGTTGCTAGGGGCAACTGTTTTACGTTCATAGTTTTCATAAATTAAAAGTATATGGTAAAGCCTTTTTTTAGATTTTGGATACAGTGGTGAGGGGGTTAAAGCACCCATCATTTCTTTGCAATCATTGTCCTAATAACAAAATGATAGACACAACAGGAAATGAGACATTTTCTCCAATGGGATGCACAGGAATAAAAATAACTCGAAAGGGGCACCAGCCCTTCCTTACTCTATCCAAAACTGAAAAAATCAGATGCATTTTAAAATTAAAAACTTGTCTGTGCAATTCCATAACAATAAAAATATACGCCTTTTATAATGACCTTAGCTATGCTTTTTTCCCCCTCTTTCAGGTTTTTGATGCATGGATGCAGCAGTGGTACCTGTTCTATCTGGTGCAGAACACTGACACACCCAAGACTGCTCCGGCCCCAACAGGTAGAGATGGAATTCATCAGGCACTGCATACAGGCTTCTCGCTGCCATGGTGCAACATGGAAAGGCAAAAACAGCAGCAATTACAGCCTTGTGTGGTCTTTGTTTTAGCTTTTGAAAACATATAGCGCTCGCACAGAATTGTTGCTGATATATGAAATCGGCTGTGTAGAAGTTCTAATAACGTGACATACGAATGTCATAAATAAGCACATAAATGTTGTCATATTCAAAACAGACACAGTTACTGGCCCCCTAATGAACACAAAATGTACTCCAGGGAGGAGAAACAGGAAGTTCAGCTTAAAGCAATGTCCTGTCTGTCACCAAAACATGTCACTTGATTGAGGATCTAGCCATTGCCCAGACTTTTTCAAAAATTATGGTTGGAGTTTCAGAATAAATCTAAACAAAATGCAGAACTGAGCCATAGTTAAGGTAGCAGCTATGCCCCCCCCCCCCACCCCCCCCCCCCCACACCTATTTTACAACA